GCTGCCCCCACTCTCTGGAACTCCCTCCCTGCAGATCCGCAACGCCCCTTCTCTCAACATTTTCAAATCAACCCTTAAAACTCATCTGTTCAACATCGCCTTCCAACAATAACTTACTCCCCCCCCCCCCCCAGTTACACTTCCATTTCTGCCCCGTTTTATGTTTTTTATGTCTTGTCCTTGTATGTTTCTTTGTAAAGTGACCTTGAGGTTATGAAAGGCGCTATATAAATTCAAGTTATTATTATTATTATTATTTATAGCCCCCTGCTGTAGCCAGAGGTACCGGTGGACCTGCGTCGCCCACGCCGCAATCCGCGCCTGCGAGACTGCGACTGACGCGCACAGGGTAAGTGCAGTACTAGCCGCCTTACCTATCTCCTCAGCCTCCACTGAGGACATGGTCTTCGACTGCTCAGACATTTTCCACCATAGAGTTGGACAGCAGTTGTTTGCCGCCGCTGACGCCTGGAACGCAAACTGGTGTATGCGGTCGGTCTGCCGGGCGACAAACCGATCTTTGGGGGCAGCCAACATAGGTTGCCGTCCGGTAACCGTGCTGGCCTGCTTAGCCCCAAAGAACGCCGTGAGGTTCGGCTCTAGAGGAGGCACGGTCGGAAACCCCACATCCGTGAACCCCTCCACTCTCGTGAGGGGAACGTATGTTCCTACCGGAGCCTTCATTGTCCGCCGCCGCCCCCTCTTGGTACTTCCTTATGGCCGGGAAGCATGGCCAGATCTGGTCACTCCTGACCCTGTGCACCCGGGAGAACACCCCGGACATATCATCCGGAGGCGAGCTCTCCTGAGCTAGGGGAACGGAGAGATGTCTCCAGGCGGCCACCTTATAGATAATCTCCGGGAGTTCCATGAGAATCCCGCTAATCGATGGCAGAGCCGTGGTGGCGGAGATAGAGATCACTGGATCATACGCCGGACCTACACCGGGCCCCATATGGGGGAATCACCAGGTGATCTCTGAATGGAGGGGACGTAGTCATCCGACTCGTGCCCGTCATTCGGATCCAGGAAATCAACGGATTTGTCCACGGAGTACACCTCCTGGACAGGCCAATCATCCTCTGCAGCAGTCTGAGGGCCAGAGGGAGACGGGCACAATGTGAGCATGATACCCCGGGAGTGAGAGCAGCGTTCGCATGCTCTATTCCCAGGCAGGACTCACACTGTGAGTGCCTGTCAAAGCTCATAATGTAGCCCGACCCGCATGCAAGGCAATCCCTGACGCAACCTTGATTTTCCTGCCCAGTCTCCATTTTACCAGAAAACAAAGCTTTTTAGTAGGAATGTTTGCTTTTAGCAAGTAGCTCTGAAAATAACTTGTTTTGCCTGACAATGCTTCTGCAACGGAGTGCTGAAGAAAAGTGGGAGCAGATTGTAGGGCCTACTTCCTATTTATACGGAAGTGAGCCCGGAGGTGGGGCCCACGTCATAGGTGGGCGTGGATTAAGTCTGTCAGTGCTGCACACGTGCAGTGGGATTACCCAATAGCGATAGCCTTAGAGGGCGAAGCCTTATATGATATATAGAACTACCAGACGCAGTCCTCTATTGATGTTGTTGTGAGCAGTGTTGCGGAGAAAATCAGCGACGTAAAACGCTGTGTGGGTCATAACAATGCACGTAAACGGTTACGTCATGACGTAAACAATGACGCAATAATTCACCTCTGAAACTGCATCTGTAACAATGAGTGGACAAAAGAAAAGAAAAGTCAACATTGAGTGTCGAGTGTATAATGAGGAGTGGACAGCTAAATAATTTTTCACCGATCTGCTACTGGCCCGGCCCGTCTGTCAAATTTTAAAACTCATAGTGGCCCCCGAGCCAAAAAGTTTGCCCACCCCTGATCTAAAGTAATCACAAAAATGACAGGATTTGCAACACTGAGCTATCTCTCCCTCTTTCATCCTCTACCCGCTCTTAAATTGTCTAATGCTCTCTGGAGAAGGGCACGGATGGTGTTAATCCCATCAGTTTTCCTGATAAACCAAAAGTTTAGTCCCCTCTACCCAAAAACTTTAAATAATGCATACACTCTGTTAACATCAGTACAATTGTTTAAAACCACACAGAGAAATCTGCCATATTTTATGTAGATTTTCAATTTGTTTGTCAATTAAGTTGATTAAAGCCATACATTCCTCAGATTTTCCTGCATGCAGCGCTTTTATTTGATTTCACCGGGTAGCAAGGGGGCTTGATATAGATGTAACCCATAAACGAATTTTCTTTGCTTGTATTGCACATATTTTCCAAAGTAAAAATGGCATTACAAAATATGAGTGACCTGGGTAGCTATAACCTGAATATATAAAATATTTAGACCTGGGGATTCACTTTTTGGAAAGCCTAGGTTGGCTGAAGGCTGGCGATAGCAGGGTATAGACCTAACCCTGAAAATGACTGAGCTTACCCTTCTGTTTGCATTTAATTAGAATTTAAATTCACAGAATCTTTTTTACTTGCATTGTTGTATAACACTGAACATTTAGCAATGCTAATTTCAATTATTGAACAAATTAGCCCAGGATTATTGAATCTTTTTATTAGTCAAATAATTTGTTAATGTTTGTGTGTAAAAATGATTTGCCACCTGCAATAAACAATAGAGCCCCCCCCCCCCCATATATCCCCCAATCAGAATTAACTTGCGCCGTGTCGAAGGTGTTCCAGGTATAATTAAATCATTGCAAATATTTGAGCATTTACATAAGCCGCCTCCTTGTTTAAGCCATGATGGCTTCATTATGTTAACCATAATAATCAAGTTCATAAGGAACAGAGGGGAAACACAGGCACACCAGACAATACTCTGTGTGTGATGGTTCCAAGCTAAAGTGAAAAGATGTTAAGGTCAGCATGCTGATATGCTCACAATGATGCTAGCATGCCAGTATAGTATTCGCTATGTTCACAATCTTAGCTTAATTTGTGGACATGCTAAAATGTGCCCATTAGCAGTAAAAAAAATAGTACAGCAAAGTAACACAAAGATTATAAAATAAATTAAAGTTTAAAACTAATGGTGACAGGAGAGGAAAAGTTAGAGTATCAATGTAGTTTCATAAACTGGAAATCACGAATTACTGTGCAAAAACTGTAGTAAGTTAGTTTAGTTATTTCGCAAATGTCTATTATTCAGACCGTGAGCAGTGTCATTTGTATATGTTCGGCCAAACAGAGCAGTTTGAATGTCAGACAATGTGAGAGACTCATTTGTAGATGAGGTAACATTTCGTGATATGTTCGCTTCCGGTAGATTTCCGATTTGTCACCCAGAGAGACAACAGCGCTGTCTGACTGGGAAACCTACAATACAAGCAGCTGCAGCGTCATGAAGGTCACACATCCCTGAGCAACAATGTGGGCGAACATTTTTCATCACTCTCCCTTTGTGGCCTGCTTCCTCGCATTTGAAAGGGCTTTGAATTACGCATAGCATCGGTTTCTGCTCACTGCTGGATGACAGAGAAACATAATTGTGCAAAACGTAGTTGCAAGCACTCTCGTCTCTTTCTGTTTTGAAGTGCATCACCAACAATATTTTACCGTAATTTGTTTTGTTTCATTCATTTGATTAATTTGCTTTAAGGCCAGGTGCAATCCTGAACGAAAATGCTGCATATGTTTGTTTATTTTCAAGACTGTGTTTTGCACTTGAATCCCTGGAGAAAAAACCATAAGAAATGCTTGGTGTAGTTCGTTGAACCATGGCTGTTGAGGGCATGTTAACCCTCTAGAGACGCTGCATAAGCATTAGTTCCTAATGTGTACTGTAGTCACTTTGTGCAAATGTGTTAAATGGGCTACCATTTCTGGAATGGAACAAATGTTATCATTGCGAACATGAAAGAAAGCACAGTCTTTACTGTATTCTTTCAAAGTTCACATCGTACAACATCCTGATAATGCTTCAATATATTTTAAACCAGATGATTGAAAACATTTCAAAACATTTCTCAAAATATGTGTAAACCCACTGATGCGTCACATTTTGAATAATAATTATAAACACATTAATGCTAACAAATTATTTCACATAAATTAATTCTACCTTTGGCACCACCAAAAGCTTTATTACTAAAACTAACTAATACAATCTGACAAATCAGTTCGTACCAGTGACGTGCGGTGAGGTTCATGGCTGGTGAGGCACTGACTCTTTCAGAGTCAGATTTACAAATATTATATTTTGACCTTAATCGAAATGTTCGGTTATTTTCAAAAGATTTTTTAGTCTGATGCTTCGATTCATTTTAAACAGACCGTTTAACAAAAGGATACCCAAAATCTAAATATTGGATTGTTCTTTCTTAGTAAGATCCCATTTTCATTACAATTGTGGTCTTACCTTGACTTGAAGATGAAGTCCATGCTATCCTTCTGGACAACAATCTCCATTACATTTTTGTAAAAGTCCTCCTTATCTTCCTCTACACTCACAGAAATATTTAACCCTAACTTTTAAGATTTATGTAAAATAATTACATGACAAAGTTCCATTTAATTTTTTTTATATTTTGAAAATAAACCTATCTAATAAACTTTACATGATGCATATTCATCAGTGTAATAAAGCCTATTCATTTAAATGCATATTCACCAGGTTTATGTATTCAGTATTAATATAATTTATTGAATTTAAATGCATATTAATCAGATTATGTATTCAGAATACATTAAGTATATTTGTTTGAATTACATAGTAATTAGGTTACCTATTCAAGATGAATAATGTGTATGTGTTTGAAATACATAACAATTAAGCTTAAATTCAATCAAAATGCATTCGATTTATGTATTTTTGTGATTAATATCCAATTCATTTTTCTATTTTCCATTCAACAATATCTCAATGATTCATACAATCAGACCACCTTGTTGATTCAACAAATGTATTAACATTAAAGCACAACTCTTCTCTTCACACAGTACTCAGCAGGTAGTGTAGCTCTTCAACCAAGTCATCTTGTAGATGGAACATGTACAATGTTTTCTAACTTTAATAGAACAGAGACAAGTTAGGAAGGTTAAACAAAGTGTTGACTGAGCACCTGCCGTTTCTAGCTTTCTGTGAATCACCTGAGCAATTTGAGTTTCAGTGCTTGTACTTTGGGGGAAAGCTTGGACGATTCCAGGTCCATCAGGATCTTCTGGTAAACTTCGAATGTATTCTTCAAGCTTTTTGGATAGCTTAGATTAAGTGCGTAGATCAACCCATAAAGCATCACGCATGCATGGTTGATACTCTGGAGGTTGTGGAGAACTTCGACCCCTTCCAGGACCACACCGACATCTGCAAAGCGGCCACCAGGACCATCACTCTCAGCTCGAACGGTGTAGATTGCCATAGTCGTCCCTGCGACGTCTGCCTCGGCCTCACGGCATTCGATGTCCTGAAAGATGGAGGGAACAGAGAACAATGAGCTGTGTCACTAACCTTGACCACCAAATTCTAAGCAGCTTATCATTGAGGCCAAGTGTGTGTTAATTTGAAGAATTCCCTTAAGGCACTGTAGATATAGCGTTCATGAAAATTAGATGGACACAAGTTCAAGGTCACAATGACCTCAAGATCTTTGACTCCCTAAAAGCCACATTATGTATAAATGGAGTTGTACATTCAATGATCATCAACTATTTAAATATGATAAAAAGTGGTGTTTGAGCATTGTTGATCACAATGAGGGTCGCGTTAAAGAATCTCGATAGCATTTTTTACCGTGTTTGTGGGTACGTGCCATAAAGAACAGCATTTCAATCATGAGAGACGTGATGTATGAAATACATGTTTAATACCGGACACGTGGTATAGAAAATTATGATTGACAGATTACAACTATGAATCAACTGATGTTTGGAGATTAGGCCCCGGTTTGTAGGATATCATTCAGGAGGGGGAACACCGCTCCGATGAACCCCCCGGGGTCTAGACACTGGTGGTGGTGATAATGGTTCGGTCTGGTCTGGAGGAAGAAGGATTAGCTTGGCCCTGAATTAGGAGACAGGAGGCGAAGGGGTGGAGGCGGGTTGTGCGTTGACACCTGAAATGACAACTGACAGAGAGGGAAGAGCAGATTTAAAGGGTTTAGCAGGTGCAATGATTGCTAGCTGGGGAGTACCGCCCCTGATTACTTAATGGGAGAAGAGCTTGCAGTGACGTGTAACACCAGGGGGTATGGTCTTCCTTCTTGAACTTGCGCTAAGCTTCATTTCAATCATGAGAGACGTGATGTATGAAATACATGTTTAATACCGGACACGTGGTATAGAAAATTATGATTGACAGATTACAACTATGAATCAACTGATGTTTGGAGATTAGGCCCCGGTTTGTAGGATATCATTCAGGAGGGGGAACACCGCTCCGATGAACCCCCAAAGAGAAGAGAAGTAAGAAGTGCTGAGATGTGAAGCATTTCTTACCTTGCTGGCTGATTGAGGAGATCTGCGGATGAAATGAGATAACACCGGGACATGATGAGATTGTCGGAATAACTGTAGGGTTAATGTGAACGCCAACCATGCTTAGCGCCTGCATGTTGGATTAGACGATGCTGACCCACAGGCCGCAACCTGCACGCGCAGGGTTAAACATGACGCTGACCCACCGGCCGCAACCTGCACGCGCAGGGTTAAACATGACGCTGACCCGCTGGCCGCAACCTGTACACACAGGGTTAAACAAAAGCTGACCCATAGGCCGCAACCTGTACACACAGGGTTAAACAAAATGCTGACCCATAGGCCGCAACCTGCACACGCAGGGTTAAACAAAATGCTGACCCATAGGCCGCAACCTGCACACGCAGGGTTAAACAAATGCTGACCCATAGGCCGCAACCTGTACACACAGGGTTAAACAAATGCTGACCCATAGGCCGCAACCTGCACACGCAGGGTTAAACATGACACTGACCTATTCGCCCTGCACGTGCAGGGTTTAAACATAATGCGGACCCACTGGCCGCAACCTGCGCGGCAGGATTCAATACGAGCGAACCTGAAGTCACGACGATATGAAGTGTTTAAACATGAACACGGTGACACGTACATGTGCTGACTTGCTAAGACCACCACCAGTTGTATGTATAAATACCGTTTAGTGTTCGGACCTTGGATGGCCAGCACGCACGGATGTCCGGGCGAATGTGGGATATGAAGGCGGAGGAGAACCACCGTCCGAGTTGGCAGGGAGGAGGGAGATATGCCTTGAATGGCTGCACCTGTCTGAACGAAAGCCCTGATATGCTATTAGACGCCACCACCAGTTATATGCATATTTACCATAGGTAAACTGAAGAGATCTTGAGCCGATGTCCGGTGAAGAGGGAGATGTAGACGATATAATGACCGAGAGCTGTTAGCTTGAGTACGGTGATGCATGAATATCGTAACCTGGTTTACCACGAGCCAAGTGAGCATGAACCCGAGAATATGAATGAAGTGCCGGATGCACGCAGAAAAGACGTACACTTGGTTAAATACTGAGACATGACCCATGATATAGTATATCTTAATTAGCGTTAAGTGTGCCGGGATGAGTCATAGATGCTGATGAGCTGATTGAGTGATTAAGACTGTCTTCTATCATCTGAAGTGAGGATGATGGAGGGACGCTAGTTTTAGATCCAGCAAGTGTGATAATAAATGTGTAGAAATAGTGGAAATCTGAATGATCTCATGCAGATATCCCCCCCAAAACGGAGGATGTGCAGTGCACGTCCTTAAGTCGGGGAAAACACGGTCGTCGTGAGGCCGGCGGATGCCACGTCCAGGAAACGGGAGATGATGCGTGCCGAAGAATCCGCATGCAAAGTACGGTTGCCCGGTGAGGAAGAGCAACTGTCGTTGAAGACGTTTATGTGGATGCACGCAGTTGGTTAGAGGAACGATAATACCATGAGCTTGATGTGATGGCTAGGAACTCCGGTGTGAGACTGGGCCTGTAGTTCCTCATGATTAGGAACGCTGTGCTCCTGGAGGAGTCTCTTCTGTTTCTTCTTCTCTTTTCCCAGTTGAGCGGAGTTGTAGTTTAGTAATGTTGTATTTGAACGCTAGATGCGTGAAGCAACGCATTAGGAGATCTCCCTGAGCAGTGGGTGATTTGAACTGGGGATAGACGCTAGTTTCTCCGACTTGACTTAAGGCTGAAGAGTTCCGCTGAACGATGATGGGAACATTAAAGCGCGTCGTAATATCTGCTTTGAAGAGCCAGCCTTGGCCTGCACGCTATTAGATTACATTATCTCCGAAAGGGGGGAACATTGACCTTGTCATCGAGATTGTCACCTGAGCATTTACCGAATTGTATTAAATAATCTGTCGACAGGCTGTAAACAGAAAAGCTGAAATTGAAACTAATAAATACTCAGTTAATCATTAACCGAGTTTGTATAATGTAGTTAATAATTCCTTACATTTATTATAGCGCTTTTTCAATGACTCAAAGCGCTTTACATATACACGCATTACACATATATCATACATGCAATGGTCAGATACTGTGGACAATACCCACAGGAGCAAGTTCAGGTGAAGTGTCTTGCCCAAGGACACACCGGCTTTACAGGCGCAGCAGCGGCGGGTTTCACCCCTTGATCTGATGATCATTGCACAGCGCACTGCACCACACCGTCCATCTTCACGCCTCGAGGTCATCGAGGCGCTTTTACAAGTACACATTGGTATTATACATGTACTGTGGACGATACCCACAGGAGCAAATCCGGGTGAAGTGTCTTGCCCAAGGACACAACGGCCTGACGCAGTGGCGGCAGGAGCGGGTTTCGAACTGGAGTTCCCCAGCACTCCCCCTTGATCTGATGATCGGATGCACAGACCACTGCGCCACCCGTCCCTACCCCACAGTTACTCTGTGTGTTGCTGCTAGCATACATAACATCTGATGTGGGAACGTTACTCGTGAATGGAGCTACGGAGCTGCTAGAAAGACAGTGGAACCCGGTGCATTCCTCCGTCTGGATGTGGAGCACTTTTGCTAAATGTTTAGACAAAGTGCTCGTGTTACGCCCTTACATGATAAACTCTTATTGCACTTTGGCAACGAGCATTCTCCACATCGAAGCGGGTGAAGTTAACCACGCCTCGGAGCACGTTCTCTCCGCCACCTCCGCAGTGTGCTCCGCTGCATGTAGCAGCTGTGTGTGTAAACTGCCCCGTCCCCTCGCGATGGGGGAGAGAGATCTCATCTGATCGAAAATACATCATAGGCGCATTTGTTTGTCCTTTGCATATTAGAACGAGTTGTGACACTAGACTGCGATATAATGTTTTTTGTAGCAATAAACATGACATATATTTATAAATGTCTCCGGTACTGATAAAAAGATCAATAACGTTGGAGCTTACGCACGTAAACACACTGCTGACGTCACAATGAATCGACGACTGAATTAGTTGCAACTAATTTGGTAATCGATTTGATCGATTAGTCGATTAGTTGTTGCACCCTTAGTCGCTGCAACTCTGACTACTTTTACATCCAGGCTGAAGACTTTTCTTTTGTCGCTGCTTTTAATTGAACTATTCATATCTTAGACTGCACTGTACTTTGATCCATGTACCATGGGGGGGGGGTGACTCTCTGTCCTCTCCCAGGGCAGAAGCAACACGCTTCTGGTTCAATAACTCATTTGATCGGAAAGACTGGAGAGAGGCGAGCTCTTCTTGGGAGGTCGTTGCATTATTTAGCTCTCCTGTTTCGCAAGATAGATTTCGCAAGATCACAGACCTTCCTTTTTTCTGCTGCCTCGTTTATTCCTAGAAAACATGTATCCTGCTCGCTCATACCATGCCCATGCACACATGCACACGCCACACCCCTCTCTTAAGGGTAGCGATCTCACTCTGCATGACCCAAATGTCGTAACAATATACGAAACAACTCGTGAATTTGTTGCAACTGCCTTTGCCAACGTTACCCTGACGCCTGTTGAAGTGAGCGCAGGAGGAATAGCTTCAATGGGATAGCTTAAGCCCTGCCTGCCTGCAGGAGGGGTTGTAGTTGAAGCCAGAATGGGTAAAACTCCGCATGTGATGCAGTGTGCGAAAAAGTACACGTCCCACCGTCCGGGACGTGTTATTTACAATATCGGACAAGTAGATCTTTCAATTGACTTGTCCGGCGGACAAGTGACGTTTTTCGCCCTGATTTATTGACAAATTATTGATACATTCAGTTTACAAAAGGCAGAACTCATTCGCAAATTGTACGTGTCCGCCATTGTTCGTTTAGAAGTGTTAGTTTCGGTTCTGCTTGTCGATTCCTAAGGAAATGCATCTCGCCGCTTTCTGTACAGTTAGACGGGGCGGGGCGGGAAGTGTAGCACAGTGGCAGGGTTGGGAAGCAAAACACGGTTCCGAGTAGGAACAAATAACAATTGTCCGGTACCGGGATTAATAAGAGTTGTGAGGACAGGAGGCGAGGCCGAGCCCCGCGGACTGCAGCTCTCTCTATGCTACGTATCAGCTGATCGCTGCACGGTGCAGCTCAGCGTCTCTCTCTCTCTTTCTACACACAGCGGATCCGCTGCCCGATTAACAGCCTCATCTTTGTCAAACTTTCTTATGTTCTTTCTCTAACACGTAATTAAGCGTTTTAGCTCCTTTGTTGTTAATATTTACCGCCATTTCCTTTATGAAGTGAAGCAGCCTCCCTGTCTGTGTCCTCGCGCTGTCCTCACATCCCTGGACCCCCAGACTCGGAGGAGCATAGGGATGTCAGTATTGTTTATGAAGCAGGGTATAGAAAGTACATTATTGAATTGAAAATACTATTTATTTACTTTTACAAACAGTGAGCAGCTGGGCAGCTGCAGCATGTGTATTGCAGGACATGTGTAAGCGTCTTTGAGTTGTAGAAAAGCGCTAGGCCTATAGGCTATACATCTAATGTGTCATTATTATTATTATTATTATTAGGTTATGTCCTATGTGTTGGACATGTGTGGTTGGACTTTGTCTCACAGGCAGGTTGCAGTGTAACATCAGAGGAGACTGGGCCAATTGTACATTCTCAAACTGCACCACTTAGAACTAACTAAACAATGCAGAGATTATTTTTATATAATTGTATTCAATAACCGTAAGAAGTTCAACAGTATGAAGTGATTTGTAAATAGGAATACAGATTTGACTTAATGTTTTCATAAATATATTTTTCTCCCAGTTTGACTTATTTTGACCCTCTCAAAGAACCGGAATTGAGAACCGACAATAACCGGAATCGAAAACCAGAACCAGAATCGTTCAAATCCAAACGATACCCAACCCTATGTGTGATGCAGTAAAATCTTACCGCTGACTTACGTTAACGGTGTCGGTAAAACCGTGGGAAAATGTCAAATACGATGACGAAGAAGAAGATTCCAGTGGCCCCAATTTTTGTCCATTCTGGACAAGTGAAAAATGTATTCGGACAAGTACATTGCCAAACTCACTTGTCCATGGACAAGTACTCTCTAAAAACTTTTTCTCACACTGTGATGAGGACCCGTTCCGCGTGAAGCCGGAAGCGCCGCATTAGGCGGCCCTGATGCCAGTGATGCCTTCTCAAGAGACTGAAGCGTACGTCAGTTGTTTGCGTGAAGTAGCCATTCCCATTAGGCCGGAGGAATTTCCATGGAGCCCGATTTCCTTGTCTTTTCCTCCCGGGTCCGGGCTTGCGGGACGGCCGGCTGACCCGCTACCCGACTGGGGAACGCCGCCTGTAGCTTAATCCGCGATACTGCGGAGCTGATGAATAAATGCCTGGAGCTGGAACGAAGCCCTCAGCTGGGACAAAGCCCTGCTGCTGCTTGGCTTAACCATGAACACCGTGACGCGTACACTTGTGCGTTGACACCTGAAATGACAACTGACAGAGAGGGAAGAGCAGATTTAAAGGGTTTAGCAGGTGCAATGATTGCTAGCTGGGGAGTACCGCCCCTGATTACTTAATGGGAGAAGAGCTTGCAGTGACGTGTAACACCAGGGGGTATGGTCTTCCTTCTTGAACTTGCGCTAAGCTTCATGTCTTTAAAGTAATACTCTTAATCCTTTAATTTAGAGAATTTTTTAATGGTGCACATGAAACATAAGACAGTAACTTACATGTTCATAGGTTAGTCCTCCTCTGAGGGTAAGGTTCCGAGCTTCTTTAAGATGTAAGGATTTCCGGGGAGACAGAAGAGACTGCACTGTATCCAATGAAGCCTTTGACCTGCCACAATAAAAATGGAGTCAACAAAACATCCCAACTTAAAATGTAAAAAAAGAAAAAATACAGGACCAGGAACCCATTTTATTCAGAGATCTGTGAAGTAAATGAAAACATTCCCATCAGTAATCAATATCTGAAAGAGCCAAATAAGAAACTGTTCTTTGATACAATGTTGGGGAGAAAGGACAGTAGGAAAGAGGCAAACCTCTTCTGTCCATCCCCCGCTCCCTCACTCCTACCCTCCACCATCTCTTCTCACCTAATAGTGGGGCAGATAACAGCAATGTTTCAGAAGAATCGTGCAAATGATGATACAAGCATTAAATGTGGCACACTTGTTCTCCAAGTGGTACTAATCAAATCTGCCTGATTGGCCAATTGAAAATCCAAGATGGCGGCCATTTTCCAAGATGGCCGCCAGATTAGCCGCCCGAAAACCGTAATAAATCGGCACATAAAGGGTTAATCAAATTTTAAAGGTCATAAATGGATGCGATAATTTAAGACCTTTAATTTGATACCTATTTTATGGGTCTACGACCACAGGAAATACTTTAACCCATTGGGAACCATTGTCGACTTTTGTCACCATGAGTATTAGTCTCTAGGGGATTGCCGAAAAATATATAACTAACAGTTCCACAGTTACTTGAATGTCACTGTTGCTACTCAACTGTAGTTACTTAAGTATATTATAGTATATTGAAACGCCCTGGTGGCGAAATTCGGTACTGCACCTTTAAGGCACCATTTTGCGCGACATGTGTGTTTTGAGTAGACACAAAATGCAGAGAGCACATGGTGGCAGCCAGTTCTATCAGCCACACATCGTTTTGGTTTAATCCGGAGTAGATATCTGTGACTGTGAGTACTTACAAACTGACTTGTGTGTGCCAAGTGATGTGTTTCAAAATTGTGGTTAATTGTGTGTTATTTCAATGTGTAAGCTAAGCTAAGCTAACTATGCTATCGGAAATTAGCTAATTCATTCAATTACTTTTTACACTATCATACAGGAAAGTGTCTATTATACACGTACAGGGTGGTAAAAGGATAAACCCTCGACCCTGAACGTCATACTGACCATGGACACAAGTGCTACTGTAAAATCGTGGAACACTGACTGGACCAAGTGTTGCCTATGTCAGGAGGTTAAGAAAGAAGATCTAAAGTCCCCCCAGGGCAATCCTGCCAGAAGAGGCGATGATGGATATATGAACTTGGCAACGAATATTCCTCTGTTTCACTCACTCAATGCACTACCAATCAAGCTAGACCCTGCAAGACTTGACGAAGGTGGTGGGATAAATGAAACCTTAAGACAAAAGAAGGCAAAATATCATGAGTTGTAGGCTTCTATTTAACAACACAAAGTTACACAGAGCTGAAAAAAGATCAACCCCTACAGGTACTAGTGATGAGGGCGGTAGAAGTAAGATCCCACGAAAGGTCCAAGAAGCTAAAACACAAGAATGTTTCTTTTGCGAAAAGGAGGGGAGCTTAGAGAAGCAATGACAATGCAAGTGAATAACAGAATAAACGAATGTGCAAAAACACTCAGTGATAGAAAACTCCTTGCCAAACTAAGTGTAGGAGATGTCATAGCACAAGAACTGAAATATCACCCTGCTTGTTTGGTGGCATTGTATAACCGAGAACGAGCCTACCTAAAGGTGCAGGAGCAAGAGAAAGCACAGGAGCACTGGAAGGAAGCATATCCAATTGCTTTCTCCGAACTAGTCACCTACATTAGTGAGATGAAAAATGCCAGTGATAGTAGTGATCCACTCATATTGAAGCTTGCTAATTTGACCATGCTTTACAAGCAGAGGCTGGAGCAGCTTGGTGTTGAATCGCCTTATGTTCATCCTACTCGACTCAAGGACCAGCTGCTTTTTCACATTCCCAAGCTGCAAGCTCATCACCAAGGACGAGATGTTATGCTGGCTTTTGAAAATGATGTAGGCTCAATCCTCTCACAAGCATCCAAGTACGGTGAAGCGATCCACCAAGCAAAAGCTGCTGGGATAATAAGACGAGATATGCTACATCAAAAGTCAAATTTCAGCAGCACCTTTAACGACACAGACCTAGAACAGGCTGTACCACCATCACTGCTGCAATTTGTATGTATGATCGAACATGGTGCTGACATCGAGTCCCAACTCGTGCATGGAGCATCGAAATCTGACCTTTCTATATCGCAACTTCTACAGTACAACTGCTTTGCGAAATATAAGGAAGGAACGGATGTCCACAGGCATTCCAAGGACCGTGAGCCACCTTTTGCAGTCTACATGGGCCTGTATGTGTTTGCCAAGACGAGGAAGAGACAAATCATTGAAATGCTCCATGAGAATGGGCTCAGCATATCATACGACAGAGTCCTAGAAATCTCAGCACAGTTAGGAGAAGCAGTTGTTGCACAGTATGTGCAAGATGGAGTAATCTGTCCCCCAGTCTTGAGAAAGCAGTTGTTCACAACTGCAGCAGTGGACAACATAGATCATAATCCGACTGCGACCACAGCTCAAACATCATTCCATGGTACAAGTGTGTCCATTTTCCAACATCCAAGCACTGAAAATGCTGGCGATGAACGTGAGCCGCTCAAACTAGAGTCAGAAATGAAGGTTAAGAAAGTACCAGAGCTTCCAGAAGCATACACCAATATTCGACCAGCATACATCACGAAAAAACCCAATCCTCCTCCAGTAGCAAACCAATCTTTACCAGCACCCGAGTCGATCTGGTTACACTTGAAGGAAGAATATTCTTGGTTGGAGGAAGTCTTCCTCACTGAGGATGTGGCTGATGCAGTAAGCATCACATGGTCAGCCCACCATGCAACGCAGAAAAGGAGCCATCCATTTGAAGTGAGTATTTCAGCGATGATGCCTCTGTGGCGAGATCAGGCTCACTCTGTTGCAACGATCAAGCATGCCATGGCGAAGGTCCGTGATACAGTGGCTTTTCTGAACCCAGGGCAGACACCTGTCATTGCTGCTGATCAACCGTTATATGCTCTGGCAAAACAAATACAATGGAAGTGGCCCGAATATGGAGAGGACAAGTTTGTGATCATGTTCGGTGGACTTCATATAGAAATGGCTGCACTGAGATCGATAGGAACATTACTACGGGAGAGTGGCTGGACCAGTGCCATTGTGGAAGCAGAGGTGGCCTCATCTGGTACAGCAGAGTCTTACCTGTCTGCATCCAGTGTCACCAGGACAAGACAAGCACACCAGATCACTGCATGCAGCTTGTACAAACTGATGAAGAAGGCATACCATGATTACCGCTCTGAAGAGTCTTGCATATCAGATATAACCTTTGAGGATTGGTGTGAACAACGGAGGAAAGAGAGTCCGCAGTTCCAGTTCTGGAGTCTGGTGCTGAACATGGAGCTCACCATATTCACCCTGATCCGCTCATTCAGAGAAGGAGACTTCAACTTGTACCGTGAAGCACTTTCAGAACTGGTGCCTTACTTCTTTGCAAATAACAATGTCAACTATGCGCGGTGGATCCCAATTCACCTCCGAGATATGATGTCACTTGAGCAACAACATCCAGATGTGGCCAGAGAGTTTCACAAAGGGAACTTTGCCATCCACAAGTCAAGAAGAGAATACTCTGGCCTGGCGATCGACTAAGCACACGAGCAAAATAATGCAGTGATCAAAGGTGACGGAGGAGCAATTGGGTTGACAGAAGACGCGTCAGCACTTCGTAGGTGGATGGTCGCTGGACCCGAAGTTAGTCTTCTAGTAGCTGGATACGAGGCCATGTCTGGTATGAAAGATGCCACATATAGCAGCAGACACCACGAGCAGACAAGGAGTGCCCAGAAATCTTTCTTTGCAAAGGTGAAATCACTCTCTGCAGTGATGCAGGAGATGGGCAACCCATTCCAAGAAGAATCAGCCGACCTGCTGGTGCTAGACACGAAGAACATTGCAGACCCAACTCTAGCTGAAATGGTAGCAACACATCACCGACGGGGCAAAGAGCAGTTCCAATCATTCATGGAGGGGCTAGAGCAGGGGTGGCCAACCTGCGGCTCTCGAGCCGCATGCGGCTCTTTGCCTAGTTTCATGCGGCTCTTCAGTTCATATTGAATTTTATATGTGTGAGTTTGGGGGAGAGACACTGACTCCTGACTAGTGGTGCACGGTGTACCGATACTTGAAAGGTATACCGCGATACCCTGCCGTTAAAAACGTTACGATTCCTCCGTTTAAGAATGACGGCGGAAAGTACTCCGGTGAGAAAGCGCCGTTTAAATAAGAGCTGTGTGTGTTCAGCGCTCTGCTTCCACTCCCTGCTCTGCAGCCGTGCCTACAGTCCCGCCCCTCTCAAGCACGCTCAAGTGCCTCCCCGCTCTCGTGCACGCGCTAGCTGCCAGAGCATGTGAGAAAACGAGAAGCATGGCTGCAAGTGGGAGTGCAACTGCCGCTGCCCCTCGGCTTGTTGACAAAAAAGACGCCAGAAGCTAAATGTGGAAGTATTTTAGCTATATCTCTGACAGTGAGGGCAAGCCTACGGACACCACGAGGCCTGTCTGTAAGAAATGTATTAATTTTATTTAATACGAATTCTTGTCATTTATTGTATTTATTGTTCTCATTGTTTAAAAGTTTGTGTTATGGTTCTGGTGTGAAATAAAGCACAATAATTACATTTAAGACTGTTTCCCTTTTTTTAAGAAAAGTATCGAAAAATAATCGGAATCGCAATTCTTGACTTGGTATCGAAACCAAAATGTTGGTATCGTGACAACACTACTCCTGACAGTTAAACCTGATATTTAGTAGGTCTGTTAAGTATTGAATGCTGATAATTCTGACGTAATTTGGCCGGTCAAAGTTGTTTGGGCTCGGATAAAATTGCTCCGTTACTTTCGTTCCGTGTTACTTTCGTTCCGTGTTACTTTCGTTCCGTGTTACTTTCGTCCCGTGTTACTTTCGTCCCGGCTCTCCCTACGTGTGTATGTGTGGTGTCAGTATGAGAGGATGACAGCGCGTCTAATTTTGATGTGGCCCAAGAGCCAATCACAATAATACCTGCGATGCAGTGAACCAATCACTTTTTGAGTGGGGGAAAACCTATGATTAAACACTACTATCCAGTGTTTCCCCTACCATTGTCTTGGAAGGGCGCTGCACCCCGCCAACGGAGCCCCGCGCCCCCCCCTGAAATTCAAGGTGTTTAAAAAATATATATAATTTTTTTTTAAATATATCGCACCAAATTGCAAATAATCTATAACTACTGTCACTTTTCACATTGAACATGTGCTCTTTTATTAAATAAACTAAACGCTTTCATTTGAAGTTGTGAGTTTAGTGTTTTTGACCCTAAGAAACACTGATGCATTAATCAATAACAATAATCCACAGCTCCTCTCTCTGCTCCAGAGGATTTAAAAAATATATATCCCAATGCCACAAAAATGCACCAGTGACGTGGTTGAAATCTTGTCTCCAGAAAACAAAAAACTGAAACAAGCGGTATCAGTGACTGTGTGTTTGATGTGGCTCTTTGCAGTAACATAGAAAAAATGTGGCTCTTAACCTCTGACTGGTTGGCCACCCCTGGGCTAGAGGATGAAGGTGAAAGTGCTTTTTATAATCCGATCAAGAAAAACCTTGCTTCTTTCTTCAAACAAGAGCAGGCTAAAGACATTTCTAAGGAGAAAGTCCTGAAAGACGACTGTCAGTTATTCTCGCGACTGTTCATCTCGTGCCAGAACAGGCAGTGTAACTTGCAAGAATTCTTCAAGCACGAAAATCAGTCGCACCCTGCATCTCTCAGTGATAGCGGCAAGCTTCATACGTGTCAGAAGTCACAGCTGGTTGAAATTCTTGAAGCGCAAGTGAACATCCCAGACACAGAACCAAATGGAGATGCAATTATCATTGATGGCTCAGCACTTATCAATGCCTTACCTCCACGTACTTCAAAGACATTTGATGACTATGCTAAAGAAGACATAATCCCAAAGGTTGAATCCTATGGTGCCAGGTACAAGCGGGTGGACGTAGTCTTTGATGTGTACAAGAAGTCAAGTCTGAAATCCGAGACAAGGTCGAAAAGAGGGCAAGGAATCAGAAGAAGAGTGACAGGGACGAGTAAGACACCAGGTAACTGGCAAAGCTTCCTTCGTGACGCCAGCAACAAGACTGAGCTGTTTCACTTCCTTGCGGAAAAGATGTGTGAAGCAGAGACGACAAGCACAGTAATTGTCACAAAAGGAGAAGAAGCCATTAGCAACACAGGGAAGTTGCTGGATGCTGTGTCCCCATGTTCTCATGAAGAAGCTGACAGTCGAATATTTGTGCACGCCAGGGATGCAACGACTGATGGGAGCAAGTCTATTATCATTAAGGCTAATGACACGGACGTGCTAGTCATAGCAATATCTGTACTGCCATCCTTACAGGAACTAGGTCTTGAGAAAATGTGGATTGCCTTTGGCCAAGGAGCCAAGATGCGATGGATTCCAGTCCATGAGGTAGTTTCTGCAATAGGGCTTGAGAAAGCTAGAGGGATCCCATACTTTCATGCGTTCACTGGATGTGATGTCGTGTCTGCCTTCCGTGGGAAAGGGAAGAAATCTGCATGGCAGACTTGGAACGTATTCGATGATGTTTCTGAAACATTCACTAATCTCAGCCAGCATCCAACATTGATTTGTGATCTTGACCTGCAGAAGCTGGAGAGATTCGTTGTCCTCATGTACGACAGATCAAGCGCAACCACTGGTGTGGATGAAGCAAGACTAGATCTCTTTGCCCGCAAGCAGAGGCCGTACAACTCAATTCCACCAACACAGGCAGCGCTCAGAGAACATGCAAAGCGTGCGGCTTATCAGGCTGGGATCATCTGGGGCCAGGCAACCATCTCCAATCCAGACACGAGCAGTCCCGCTGAATGGGGATGGACACAGAAAGGAGAGACATGGCAGATATGTTGGACAACACTACCCCCTATTGCAGCGAGCTGTCGGGAACTGACGAAGTGTTCCTGTAAGAAAGGTTGCACAGGAAGATGCAAATGCTTTCAGTCAGAGCTCCCCTGCACATCACTCTGCAGATGTGAACAGTAGCAGCTGGAGGACCAGTGGCATGGTATAAATAACTTTGAACATTTGCTAGCCGGGGTAAAGCTTATGTAATAAAAAACAGGCAATCTGGTGGCCATCTTGAAAAATGTGTCAGTGTGCTTTATTAAAACCCTTTGAGACCCAAAGTGCAAATAGTACTCATGGTGACAAAAGTCGACAATGGTTCCCAATGGGTTAAAGTATTTCCTGTGGTCGTAGACCCATAAATTAGGTATCAAATTAAAGGTCTTAAATTATCGCATCCATTTATGACCTTTAAAATTTGATTAACCCTTTCTGTGCCGAATTATTACGGTTTTCGGGCAGCTAATCTGGCGGCCATCTTGGAAAATGGCCGCCATCTTGGATTTTCAATTGGCCAATCAGGCAGATTTGATTAGTACCACTTGGAGAACAAGTGTGCCAAATGTGATGCTTGTATCATCATTTGCACGATTTTTCTGCAATCCCCTAGACTATAATCTCCTCTCATAGGGTAAGGTTTACTCCTCCCTCCTATCCAACCCTCTCCAAACCTCTCTTGTGCCCTCCCTCTCTCCTAACCTAATTCTGTTTCCTGTTAGGAAATAGAAGGAACTAACCTTTCCCTATCCTGATCTTCTCTCCCCTAACCCATCAACCCTTGAAAATGCCCCCTTCTACTAAATAGAATCAGTCCCAACAGCCAAAACAAAACAAAGTACCGTAATTTTCGGACTATAAGCCGCGCCTTTTTTCCCATTTTTCGACCCTGCGGCTTATATAACGGTGCAGCTAATCTATGGATTTTTACAGCTAACGGCCACTAGGGAACCTCCTAAATCTATGGATTTTACAGGTTACAGTCCACCACCTTTAACGCTGTGGGCTCTATGACCGGTCCGCGCCCACCACCTTTAAGCGGCGGGCTCCAGCAGGAAAAGCTGGAGGCCGGAAAAGAGTGAGACAGGTAGCGCGCCAAAGTAAAAGTGGAACCGAGAGTGGTACGAGAGACAGAACGAGAGCAAGACAGACAGACATTACGAGAGCGAGACAGTTTGTGCAAAGGAAGTTTTCATGCACAAACCCTGCCGGTACGTGCGCTGGGAGCGCACCGTTTAAGTTTGAAAGTTGAAAAGTTTGTGTGTCTGAAACGCTATGTGATACAGTACAGTTTACACAGCACAGTACATGTTCTGTAGCTACTATTGCACTAAATGGTAACACTTGAATACGTTATGCAAATATGCAACTTGTTTGTTGAAATGTTAATAAATGGGAGCTTCCTCAAACAGCCATCTCTTTCCCGACAATCCCCTCTGTGCACGAACCCTTACATATGGTAATTAAACATTAAAACACCTGCGGCTTATCGTCCAGTGCGGCTTATATATGTACACATCATTCAATTTAGCTGCTGCGGCTTATATGCAGGTGCGCTTTATAGTCCGAAAATTACGGTATCCTTACTACTACACTGTTTTATGACTTACCTCTTGACATCCGGCTTTGGCTTTACTGACTGCCTCAGATCCTCAGCTGCCTTTTGACAGAGAAAAACAATAATTATCCCATTATTTCTCTCCATGGATATCAGCCCTAAATACACTACAAGGTATGGTAAAGGAGGAAGACAGGAATGGCATTATCTTTGTAAACTACGTTGTAGGAAAAAAATCAAGAATTAACCCATTTAGCCCTACTTTTACACCTTTTTTAAATCCTATGCTTTATGTATGAGTGAAGTTACACTGTGGTAGGAGGTAACACACAATAAAGCTATATGTGTGAGAGCAAGAGAGAGAGACAGACAGACAGAGGGAGAAGATCTAGGGGAAGAGAGAAAAAGCAGGATGGAGAGACAGAGAGAAGAGGGAGACAGCCAGACACAGAAAGAGGGAGGGAGAAAGTCATAAAGGAGAGAGTAGGGTGAGACAGACAAAGTGTGATAGGATAGAGAGGGAGAGAGAGACCAGTTGATCAGTCTTGTGTTGGTTAGAGTTCCAGTCAACATGTCCACTTACTGGCAATAACTTCAAGGAAGACAAGAAGGCTTCCCTCTCTCTGATGTTCTCAAGGCGTTTGAGTTCATAAGCAGACAGTCCACAACATGTATCCTACACACACACACGCGCGCGCGCGAGAGAGAGAATCACGCTGATCAGAATCAAGAATCAAAACCGACCTGACATAATCTGAAAGGCCTATCTTACTAAATAACATTTCCAAAACAGGTGTCAATTACACAGGGTTCTTACACCTTTTCCAAAGTCAAATTCAAGCACTTTTCAAGCATTTTCAAGGTGCATTTTCCAGCTTTTCAAGCATCTTACAGCTGTTGTAAATTACATATTTATATACATATACTCAAATGATTATTTCCCTACCTCACATTAAATCAGATGTTCTTTATGCTATAAACAACCAAATGTGTGTTTCGTGATAGCCTTCTACACGAGGATGAAAAATTAAAGAAAAGAAAACTAAGTTTAATATTTCAAAATGAGTGACCCATCTGTATGTCCCATATAACCTGTCTGAGCCAATATAAAACAATCAGCCAAATAACTTTTCAATACATTATTGATTACTATTTTTGAGGTACTTTTAGGTTGGCAGTCAAGTCAAGTCAGAGGTACATGGTGTACTTCTACTCCACTACAGTTCAGAGGTACATGGTGTACTTCTACTCCACAACAGTTCAGAGGTACATGGTGTACTTCTACTCCACTACAGTTCAGAGGTACATGGTGTACTTCTACTCCACAACAGTTCAGAGGTACATGGTGTACTTCTACTCCACTACAGTTCAGAGGTACATGGTGTACTTCTACTCCTCTACAGTTCAGAGGTACATGGTGTACTTCTACTCCACTACAGTTCAGAGGTACATGGTGTACTTCTACTCCTCTACAGTTCAGAGGTACATGGTGTACTTCTACTCCACAACAGTTCAGAGGTACATGGTGTACTTCTACTCCTCTACAGTTCAGAGGTACATGGTGTACTTCTACTCCACAACAGTTCAGAGGTACATGGTGTACTTCTACTCCACTACAGTTCAGAGGTACATGGTGTACTTCTACTCCACTACAGTTCAGAGGTACATGGTGTACTTCTACTCCACTACAGTTCAGAGGTACATGGTGTACTTCTACTCCTCTACAGTTCAGAGGTACATGGTGTACTTCTACTCCACTAAATGTATTTAATACCTTTAGTTACTTCACAGATGTGGATGAATGATGTGAAATCTAATCAAGTGTTAAATCAGACTTTAGTTCCACCTGGAGTAAATCCACAAGCTACCCTGCAGTATACAAAGTCATTCAAACTAGCTGCACCTTTACCAGCTTTGAGAACACTTAAATGATCAATCATTATAAAACATATCATATATTATGAAATGGACCAATCTGCTCAATCACTACTTTTACTGTCGCTACTTTAACTATATTTGGATGAGAATACTTTTCTACTTTCACTTGAGGAATATTTTGAATGCAGGACTTTTACTGTGACAGAGTATTCCTACACTCTGGTACTTCTACTTTTGCTAAGTACAAGATCTGAGTACTTATAATTTCACTACAAGATCTGAGTACTTATACTTTTACTCAAGTACAATACCTGAGTACTTATTCCACCTCTGGTAGTGTATTAGTCTGAATTGTAGCCACAAAATCACGCAGAGCTGCATAGAAATAGACTCACAATGGTAACAAGTGGAAAATAATATTTACAAATGTGTTCAATGATTTGTAGGTAATTTTGACTACTCAAGACACCTTACTTATACATCTTCAAAGGAAGACTGTGTTCATTCTACAATTACATGGGATTAAAGCAACATGTAGCCTAGTTTTACTTGTATAATACTTCAATTTTATATAAAGACAGTTTGTTTTCATCTGTTTTCAAATAAACAAAGTCTTGGCTTTCAGAATATTAAACTTGTTTCGGCAAATTCAGATGATAAATACAACTTTGAAGCTTCGGCATAATTACAAGCGGAGAACTGAGTAACTTAAAGTCACAGCAGGCATAACAACAGCTGGTGTTTCTTGTAAGTGTTTCCCCGGGAAACAAACGCAAAAATACACAAACACACTCGCGAGCTTCCCCCAGACCAGTAATACAAACGAGAATGTGTCTTCGGGTCAATGTGACTGATTTCGATAGAGCAAGTCACATTTGGTTTAGGCACGAAACATACTACCAGTAGAAATACATTGCTTTCAAAATCGCTCTGTGTCGAATCAATAGATTATATTTCGTGACTATAACACGAAATGCCGTGAGTGCTTCATCCTCTGAACACCACAGGATGGCGACTGTAACGCACATAACATAGGTACGCTCCGCTGAAATGATTGTCCCCTGCAATTATTATTATACCTCAATCGAGTTCGCTATTCAGCTCGCTAACGTTAGCTTAAACAAACGTAACATGCAACGTTAGCCTAATCTAAAATGCTCTACTACGGCGTACCTTTCATGTGGCTCGTCAGCGCAGACTCTCGCATCGTTATTTTTGCAAACTTTGCAGGAGGCTACTCGTGGGCTTGACCCTCGTCTTAGCCATGGCTTGTATTTGTCTTCTGCTAGCCAACGCTCGTTGAAACGGCAACCTCCTGGCACACAGTCATCTATCACTCTCATCAGAATGCCCAGGTCACACATAACACAAACACTTGCAGGTCGCGCGCATAGCGCGGGAAGGCCGCAGCGGAGCTGTTTTAGAAGCGAAGCAATTATTTTTCTTTTAATCTAAAAACGAACTATTCAGTCAGACAGCAATTTATTGTAAAAGTAAAGCATTTACATTTTCAAGCACTTTATCTCAATTTCAAGCACCATTCCCAAAATTCAAGCACTTTCCCAACCTTGAAAACACCACGTCAAATTTCAAGCATTTTCAAGGATTTCAAGCACCCGTACGAACCCTGATTACATAACTGCTGCTTTATGAGAACTATCAAGTTTCTGTGTCCTCACCTTCTTGTTTGGGGCAGAATTGTCGTCACTGGCATATTGGAGGCGCTTAGGTGCCAGGACCCGACCCTTAACCTCAAGCTCCTCCGGACCATGTGGATTTACTTCCTACAAGTAACAGCAGTACCACCATTGCCTTGAGGGAATGTATTACTCAAAACAAACAACCCATTGGACTCAATGACGAACTATTGGTGTTCAAGGTCAATGTGACCTAATGTCCATCCCATTCTCATGAACGCCACATGTTATCAGGCACACCTGGAGGGAAATTAATTACATCTGGCACAAAGGACAGAAGGATGACATATTTACCACATATTCTTTGACCAGTGTGTCCAGGTCTTCATTGAGGTAGATGCTCAGACAGCTCAGCACACAATCATGCCTCACGTTGATGTCTGCACTCTGAAACAAACATTACATGATTCCATGCTGGTCAGTGTCAGAGACGCATGTGCTGAGGCCAGCCAAGCCACTGACATTTCCCTCCTTGACCATCCTGAACTCACCTGGTTTCACCCCACTCAGTTAAAACTCACACAGGTCTGAGCCCGTTCACTACACAGTAATTTTGAAAGTGCCTATCCTTTTCCAAACCGTTAACAAAAGGAGCTTTCCCATATGGCTGAGTCAAACAAACCATATGTGTATTAGGTTAGACCAAAAAATACTTACATTATCCGTCTTTGCCATCACGGCTCTGATCTTTCTTCCTGCAGCTCCACCTTTGGTATGGAAAACTCTGATCAGGTCGTCGGTCAGGCGGTCCAGTTCTCCAAGGAATTTGGAGGTCAGAGGTACAGTCGTCAGCCGCATAAACTCCAAGTTGATCTGTAAAAGACAACACAGACAGGATACAGACTTAAACAGGGGCAGCTGTAGCTCAGTTGGTAGAGGGGTCATTCATAGACCGAAGGTCAGTGGTTCGAATCCCGGCTCTGACTGTCCACATGTCAAAGTGTCCTTGAGCAAGGCTAGCACACTGCACAGTTGGGTGCACAAAAGTGCTATTTAAGTGCAGACCATTTACCAGATGTGTGACATTGAATACATGAGTTACTAAACTTCAGATTCACACTTACCTCACTGACGTCAAATAGTGCTGGCCATTTGTTTAGGAACTCTGGAATCTTTGGCTCCTGGAGAATCTCCTGTCTCCTAAGCGAGAAGGTACGCTGCATCTTCTCCCTAATCACGGCCTCGTCCTTTTTTTTCTTTTTTACCTGAAATGGAATGAAACTTCATTGTCATTATACAGTACAGATTCTTGTAAAACGAGATTTGGTTAGAAACTCTCCGCAAGGGTACACAATACAATTGAGAAACAGATAATAGAAAGGGAAACGCTAAGCTAGATGCTAGACAATATGATTAGGGAGTAAGAATATTATACAAACTGAGTGTAATAGATAAAGAAAAATGAACTGTGCAAAGTAACCAGAAAACAGCTGAAGTGTCCAGTGCTGTGCAAAATGAACTATTGGGCTGCTTGAGCTGAGCTGGACAGGAAGTATAGTGCAAAAAACATGACTGGTGAAAAGCTGTGATCATGTACATACTGGCCATGCCATGAACATAGTGTAATCATGGATAGGTAAGATACAATGTATTTCACATTATACCTCAGTCAGTAGAGCCACCCTTTCCACCTCCAACCCGTCTCTTGTTTCACCACTAGGGATGTTTGGACAGAAATGTACATCTCCCTTCCTGGGATTCTTGATGTTGGCTGCTGGAGTTTGCTGGCCACTTCGCTTGTTTTTCAGAGAGTTGATGGCAACCTCGGGGTGTCCAGCTTGGCTGAGGAGGAGAATTATATTTTATCAGCACCTTTCACGGACCAGGATCACAAATTGCTTCACAATTTAAACACAATGGGCTCTATTTTGGTTTTGTCCTAAACGCCATGTCTTTAATACATGTATCCTGCCGCAAAGTGGCACAAGACCTTGAACGCAAGTCCTTGAATCTGTCGCACTGGCATTTAATATCTTGCACCACCTTGCGCCGGCACAAATATATGTTAAAGCATAAGCCTTAGCACTTGGGACAGCAACAAAAAAAGAACCCATTAAATAAAACACAAACCTCAGCTTGGTGCGGAAGTTCATCATTTTTATTTTCAGGTAATGCTTCCAGCCACTGTATCCAGTTTGTGTTGCTTTTTTTTTGACTTCCTGCCCGGTTTGACACGATCGCTCGCGGCTCGCGCACAAAATAGACCAGACGCCGAAACCGACATAATCGGTCAACATGGGCGCCGAAAGGAAAATGGCTCCGCTTCTCAGCGCCAAAAAAAAAAAAGGCCACTTGAACTGATGCAACGGGATTACAAACTGAAAAAGTGCATTCCAGAAGTTCAAAAAAATAAATGTATATATAGAAAATTGATGCACTGACACAAGTTAGATTCCAACATTTCTATGTAAACAAACACAAAAACATATCTCTCTATAATAAACCGTTTTGGAGATATTCACAGATATGTAAAACTTTAGACTTTTTGTCTAAATCTAAAAAAGTGTCTAAAAAAAATGCACCCCTACCCGAAAAGCTTTGAATGAAATGCATCAATTCGCCAATCATTGATTATTTTCCTACTCAGCATAGAGCACCAAGTTTAGTGAATTGCTAGCTAACGTTAGCTAGCGAGCGCCGGTACACGTGTTGCTTGTAGTGGTAGGACTAAAGATAAAACTACTTACAATCATCACAAACTACGTAGATTTGATCATCAATGAATTGATATTAATGTAATATGATAAAAACTGCACGAATAATACACAGATGGATGTAAGTAGACAAAGGATGACTCGGATTACTCACCATTAAGCCTGAGGTAGCACATGAAGTCCAACGGAAAATAAGGATGTCATTTCCTGTTTCCCGATTTCACTTCCCCCAAATTGTACGTAAACCAATCACATACGTTTTAAATAAAAATAATCTTGTTTGTTTATATCAGAGCCGTATAATAGAAGAGTTATGACATCTCCGTTCACTCCAATGGACCACTTTTTTACAGCAATGGCGGATCGTGGAGCCTCTCATTCGTTCCCCGGAAGTTAGCGCCAAGGCTAGCAGAGCGGTAGAGTTGCAGCATAATAACCGTTCGTGACGGACTTTTAAAGGTAAGAAGAAGTTTAAAGATTTATATTGCGGATATTATCAGTACATCTGATTCAAATTAACATGTGTATTAAAGGATGTCAGTGGATTATCCCTAAATTAGTAGATTTAGGGAACGTTTACAGATAACAGATCAAGCTAGGATACCGAAGCAAGTTAGCAACAGACGTTGAACAACCTTTTAATTGTAAATTCCGTTCTCTTAATGTCATTTGGTCCAACGTTGTTGAATTAGAGAAGAGGGGCTTCTAAACGGGATTGTATGCGGGGGTTGAGGGAGTTAAATATTAGATAAATATAACTTTGGTGCGTGTAAGAGTGAGTGTTTTTAGCAGAGCCATATTGTGTCCTTGTGATTATGTTGATTATTACCTGCCTGTATAATGTTGCAGCTCAGCTGATTTTGGATTGATGGCAAAGGGAGAGGGACTTAAGTGAGTGTGAAAACACAAGGTAAGTTTAATACTACTGTTTTATATAAGTAAGCATACTAAACATGTATTCTATCACTGTATTATATAAGTAATCTTGTTAGTAACCTACTGTATGGCAGGTGGAGGGGCAGTGATGTTACAGGTGGAGGAGCAAGACTGCAAACTCACAAGACAGAGAAATCAAAGTTTGTTCTCCAGAGAAGAGGTTGATTTCACTTCAATTTTCTATTTCATATTTTCTAAAGATGTGGAAATAGCAACAAAAAAACACGTGAGAGCTGTAACCAAGACAACTGTAACAACAGGAGTAGAGAGCCACCAAGGTTTTTCAAGTCCCTCTCTTACTCCATTTTGCCAACCCAAACTTCCAGGTACATGACGGGACACCTTGCTTGTTTTTGTTGTTTGCTCTCCTCTGGCTGGGTGCTGGCAGGTGGAGGGCAGTGATGTTGGCAGGTGGAGGGGCAGTGATGTTACGGGTGGAGGGGCAGTGATGTTAGCTGGGTGCTGGCAGGTGGAAGAGCAATGTTTAGTCCAAATATTTCCATTGCAACGGCTAATGGAAATGATTGCAGCTGTGGATCTGTTTGGGGGTTGCTGGATGTGGTAGCTTGGCTGCTGTTGTTCCTTTTCACCTTTTTGGATTGGCTCTTGCTTCCAAAATGGCCATCTTTTAATTTTATTTTTTTTCTGTCATTTCTGATTTGTTTTGCCTCAATTCTCAGCCTCAGCCGTATAAATCTTTTTACGAGTTTTTGTTGTACTCCACAGCATGACGGAAGCCTGCTGGAGAGGGCCTGAGCTTCTTTCTCCAAGACACCCACTGCGTTGGGGAGCTGCATGAGGGAGGAACCAGTCTTGGTCCTAAATAGTTCCTCAATTTGGTGAATGAAGTCAAAGGCTTCTTGGGAGGGACGACAAAGAGCACCTGCCTTGAAGTCTTTCAAGTCCACTAACAAGCTGTTGTCACCAGAAGGACTCTCATCATGGTGCTCTGTTGCAATTTTGCATTTTTCACAGATGCTGGCAAACTTGATGATTTTGTGGACGATGTAGCCTGCAAGATGGAAGAGAATACATTTCTCAGTTTTTGTGAGGTCAGGTGCTGCTGCTCTGTTCACCGCCATCAGCTGTTCCACTCTGACTGATGGAGTGATTTTTGGCTCCCCTGTGTCCAGGAAGTCTGCCAAAAAGCTACTGTGGTCTTCCTGGTAGCTCCCAGAGCTGATGGTGGTGAGGAACTGCCCCACAGATATGATTCTCAGTGCATGATGAAATTCCACTGGGGTTGGGACAGGATTTTTAGACCTCACACAGCTGAATGTATTTTCAAGGCAGTCTTGTGTGAACCTTGACGTTAACACAAACCTGTGTCCTTGTGTAAGCATCTCCTCTTGTATGGCCAAAATTGATGTTGTTGCCATTATCACCCCTGTTTGAACAGGCTTCCAACCTCCCTTTTGACCTATCTTTATCCCACGAAACAGATGGACGATGTTCTGGAGGAAGGTGATGGCCTTTTGGTACTCCTCCATCTTGAGCCTGCTCAGGGCTGTAATTGGATGGCGAGATGACATCAGATCAAACCAACGATCAACCTGCTCCAGGAACCACGCTGTCGTCAGGTATGACAGAGGGCGGTTTTCTTGCTGCACCATGTATTTCAGCCCAGCACTTGTAGCCTTACTGAACACATTTAGAGCAAGACCAACCTTCATCTTATCAAAGTGACTTGGCTCGATGGCTGCAGCTGAAAGATGGGGAGCTATTTTTAAGGCCATCCCTTCCTGAAAGGTCAATAAGTCCTTAATGGGGACCACAGAAACCTCGTTAGAGGGGAGGTTCTCTCTGTTAACAACATCCTCAGGAATTATGAAGACCTGCCCACGGACAAGGGCACTTTTTAAAAATGTTACCAGATGTGGGACATCGGGCATGAAATAGAGCTGCCTGTCTGGTTTTGCTGGATGTGGCACCGATGTTTTATTTTGGTCCACCCCAAAGGATTTCCACATGGCTCGGTTAGGGCTACCCATGTCGGTGGTGACATCAAGCACATGTAGCCCTATGGATGCTGCCCTCTGTATTATCTCAATAATGATTGGCCTGTACTCTGCTCCATTGGTAGAATTGCCAGTGTAATGATATGCCACTACTTGCTTCCACCGTGTTGTGTTTCCAGCCAACATAAACACACAAGCATGTGTTGCCACCCCTGTGTGACCTGGTAAAGTCACATCACCGTACAGTTTGCCTGTAATCATGTCTAACTCCACACTTGGTGTGATTGCCATTTCATCCAAGGTCAACAAACACTCCCTTTCAAGGTCTGTCAATTTATCTGCCTTCAATTTTAGGAAATCAAAGACCTCTGTCAACACACCAGGCTCAAACTTAACACATTGCATCCTTCTTTGCAGTGTCCTTATTCCTGGAAGGGGAATCTTCAATTCCTGCAGAGTTTTGTAACCCGTTGGTCCGCTCGCAAAGCGAATTTTTAAAGCCTTCTTAATTGTCTCATTGCTCCATTTCATTCCCTTTGTGGTGAGTCTGCCTAATGCCTTCAGTTGGTCTTTTGAAAACGTTTTCTTATATTTCTTGTCCCTAATTTTCATTGTTTTCTTGAGAGCTGCATTTTCCTTCCTGATTTTT